CTTGCCTGCTAACCAGACGGTTGGCGGTTCAAACCCACCAGCCACTCCTTGGAAGGAAGGTTGGGCAATCCTACTTCCGTAGTGATACTGCCTCGAAAACCCAAGGAGGGGTCGCTGTGAGTCGGGTTTGACTCGACGGCACATAACAACAACAACAGTGACTATAGGGTCACTCTGGTGGCGTTGTGTCTAAGGCATCTGACTGCTAACCAGAAGGTTGGTGGTTCAAACCCACCAGCCACTCCTCAGAAGGAAGATTGAGCAGTCTACTTCCTTAGAGATATTGCCTGGGAAACCCAAGGAGGGGTTACTATGAGTCCAAATCAATTCGATGGCAGTGAGGTGGTTTTTTTTTTTCTTTTTTTGAGTATGAGTCAGAATTGACTCTATGGCTGTGAGTTTTGTTTTGGTTTGTTTTTTTGGTTATAATATATATTAATATTTACCATATTAGAAATTAAAACTAAGACATTAAAAAATTAATTTTTTTACGTAATAACCCTACATGTTAACAGAAATAACATTTTTTATGGTGATACAAACTTTTCTAAAACAAAACCAAAACAGTTAGAAGAGTGAATTTGTTTTCCATTTTTAAATTCTCCTTAATGTCTTGGCTTCATTGCAGACAGCTGGACTCTCTGCTGCTGCACTCAGTGTGTCACAGTATCCCAGGTGCTGTGCCTCTGCACACGCCACTGTACATTCCTGAGAGAGTGAATGACAGAGGTCAATAACGTCTTAGCATTGTTAGGAAAAGTTATTTTGGCCTGGCAGGTGCCTGAAAAGGCCTCAGGAACCCCAAAAAGCGTTCCCAGACCACACTGGGAGAACTACTGCTCTCTAGCATTATTCTTAAGGAGCCCTGGTGGCACGGTGGTTAAGTGCTCAGAGCAGCTAACCAGAAGGTCTGCAGTTGGAACACACCAGCATTCCCCCAGAGAAAGACTGGTGGCATAGTGCCTGAGGCACTTGACTGCTAACATAAAGCTTCACAGCCTTGGAAATCCTTGGGGGGCAGTTCTGCTCAGTCCTCAACTCATTGCTGTTAAGTCAGTTCGACTCATAGTGACCCCACCTTGGGTTTCCGAGGAGGTATCTCTACGGAAGTAGATTGCCCAGTCTTCCTTCTGAGCAGTGGCTGATGGGTTTAAACCACCAGCCTTCTGGTTAGCAGTCAGATGCCTTAGGCACTATGTCCCCAGAGCCCCTTACTCTGCCCTATAGGGTCACTATGAGTTGGAATTGACTTGATGGCAGTGGGTTTTACCTCATTAGCAGTTTTATAACTTCTCATGTGACTAAATGTTGTACTATATTTTTTGTACACATCTTTATAATCTCTTTGAGAATGAGCACCATTCTCTAGTATTCTATGAATTTTACACAGAGCCTGTGTTAACATTCAATAGCTATTTGTTGAATTGAGAGAAGAGTCACTCATTTATCCAAAATTATACTTGTTGATTGCCTGTTACTTGCTAGGAATTCCAGAAGATAAAAAGATGACAACTATTTAGCTTCTATTCACAAGAGCTAACTAATAACGAATGTTATTCTGGGCCATTCACAAATAATGCTAAAACTGTTACATAGTAATGATGGGTGATGAGAACAACAGTGATGCTTTCTTTTTACCATGTATTGAGCACTTGGTTTATACTCACCTTCACATGTGTTACTTACGTTAACACGCCTGGCAGAGAATTGAGGTTAAGGCAGAGAACAATGATTTAGGATTATTTGTCTGTAAAAAGGAGAGAAGCATGAGTGGTAAGCTTGCAAAGTTAAGCACACAGCATTTTTTTTCTGTTACAGAGAAAACATTAAGCTTTGGGGCAAGTGAAGAAAATTCAAAATGGTATTATTCTAGGTCCTTCAATTCCCAAATGTCTAAATTCTGGGAGGCTGAAGACTGGAGGATCTGGGAACATTTAGTTCGTACACCTATTGGAATCAGAAGAGCCACGTTGTGTGAGGACCAGAGTGAGCAGAAGGAACTCCACTGACATAAACCACACTGGGGGGAGGGCAGCTATGACAGCAGGAGGTGCTGATGCAGCTTCCCTCCAGCATCAGACCCAGGGACTGTCCTGGCTTGTCCAGCCCACATGGGTGGCAAGGCCCATGAGGATGTCTGCTGTCTCCATCGGTGGTCCTGGAGTCACGGGCCGAAGCTCTCCAAAGGTTGCTTGTTCTGTGTTCTCTTTCCACTTTTTTCTGACTCTTTACATCTTTCCTTACACCTAATGAGCATTTATTTAACTTTAAAAAAAAAACCTTAAACACCTTTAAGAGTCCATTCAGAACTGTCCACAGGGGATTAAGAATAATTTTAAATATTTTCAGATGGACTCTGGTGGGGGAGTAGGTAAGGCATTTGGCTGACCAGAAGGTCAGCAGAGTTCAAACCCACCAGCTGTTCTGCAGGGGGAAGATGAGGCAATCTACTTCTGTAAAGATTGAGAGCCTTGGAAACCCAAGGGGAGTCACTGTGAGTCGGAATGGACTTGACAGCTCATAATAAATCCTTCCCTGTTGTTTCCCACAGCCATGTACATGTGTACCATGAGCCCTAAATACAAGCCCGACCCTAATTCCACTCCAAACCGCTCTACTGTTGAACACCCTTTCCTGCCAGTATAGAGGTAGGCAGGCACGGATTCTCAGGGTCTTGCCCAAACTGTGTAATTCCATTGTGGCGTGGCATATCTGAGCCCCAAGGGTGGAGTGCCGAACTTTCCAGGGACTTCTGATGCTATCCGAGTTGCATTAAGCAAGGAGCTTAGAAATGGGCTGTGAAAACGGGGACTGGAGACAATCAATCTGTCATTGCATACTTGCTGTATAGAAGGTGTTCTGGCCGCAGAAAAATCCTGCCCTCAAGCAGCTTATGACATGCTGTAGGAAGGAGAACACATAAAAGCTTCAACAAAAGGTCTGCTCGGTCTCTGAGTGTCTGAGTTCCTTGCTCAGTCTTTGTGTCTTAGGTTGTGTACAGGTCCTTCACTTCACCTCGTCTCCTGGGTGTCATCCTTGAGTCTCAGGGAGAGATCCAGCCAGGATCTCTGCCTGGACTCCCAGACTCATGCACGCAGATGCCCGTATGCCGGCTCCCCTTGAATGACTGGCAGGCATCTTAAACAAAATAAGTCTTCCCCCAGGAACACTTAGCCGTCTGTCTTAATCTCTCTTGCTTTCTCTCTCGCAGTTTTCTGCATCTCGGTAAACAGCAAGTACATTCTTCCGGTTAC